TTTACTTTCTCTTCACCACGAACTCAGGAAAAACTTAGTGAAGTAGGTTATTTGCTGAAGTTTTATTATGTTTACATGCTTGTATTTTTTAAGCATTCAAGTGTATCATAAATAGGTTGCTTTACAATATTTGATTCTTGAGAGTGATTTTAGAAATTGGTATTTATGTTTATCTCCTTATAAAAAAATTTTGTAGCTGAGATGTTTGTTACTTGTTAATCGAATGATTAAGGTTCGTTTTAGATCGATGTTTTAGTAGATAAGTTAGCGGAAGAAATCATAAATGAAGAAGTTGCAAGGTTATGCGAGCTGGAGTTTGTAAAGTCAATGATTGAAGCATTGACTTCTGAGTTATACAACAATATTTTTGAGGCCTGTCTGAAGTTAGTTTTATCTTGCAATTTGAGAGAACGAGTGATTTATTCGGCTTAAAATGTATTTTTCTCTTTTTGAATATCCAGACTTTGTTGCTGGAATTCAGTACGGAACTGCTGGTATCTAAGTAATATTTCAGGCCATGTTGTCTGGAAGTGATGATGGGTGCTACACTATTATATCGTCATAAAATAGCAGAAAATAAAGTCAAGCAAAATATAAAACAACTCCAGTCACTGCAGGATTGTTTGAATGAATCAATTTTGCAAGAAGTTACGGATCAACTTATTATCGATTCAAGTAGAAAATGGATAACGTAAGTTCAACCAAAAATATTTTGTAGTCTGAAGGTATTTTCACTTTAAAATTTACTAATATTATTCGTTGTTCCCAGAATAGTTGCTTTTTGGATCATGGAATCTTTCCACTATTGATTCGTGTAAGTTTTTCATAAAAAGACGTTTTAATTTTTAAAGAACGTTCGGATATCTTGAAAGCTTCGTAGTTTTATCAGAGCTTGATATTATGTTTTTTCGTTTATTGGAACATTTCCCAGTTTTATAGCTAGAATTTCCAGAAGATATCGACAAATACATGACGAGGAGCTCTTGGAATCCATTGGACAGAGCTTATTCACTGATCTGATTACAGAAGTGATTTCAGAAACAGTTCAAAACATCGGAGAACATAAGATTATCGAAGGTCTAGACACTATGAAAAGGCAGTTACAAACCATCAGTGAACGGCTAGACAGGTATGTTCTCTTTAATCACTTCTCATAAAATGTCATTTTCAATTTCAGTTACAAAATTTTAAATATGTTGATGTCATGAGCTCTATGTTTAAAGTTTGATTAATTAGATTATGGCTAAAACAATTTACGGATCGCTGGAAAGAGCAAGTTGCCTTCAAAAAAAGGAGGAAACAAGAGAAATTAGACTTGTTAGCAACATTTCCTGTCGCATTACCCGGTATAGTTATAAAATATTTTGGAGGCTTCTACAATTTATAAAAAAATTATTTCTTTTATAACTGCTTGCTTCTGCTGAACTATTGTTGTTACTTTTTAGCCAGATCAAACCTTGCTTTTCGTTGGAAAGGTGGTGGTCTATTAGGCCAAGGATATGTTGATTGTGCCATGGTAGATTTAAATTTTGTTTTTTATTCAAACTTTTTAGAATTAAATTTCCTTTACAGTGCCTTTTTCACCTATTTCATAAAGAAGTGCTGATTTTAGAATTTCCTGGTGCCCATTCCATCCAGTAAAATTTTTCTGTTAGCTGTGATGCAAAGTAAAAGAGTCACAGACCTTCATTTAATAAAAGTTAAGCTCGATGTCAACAGCAAAAATTTAATACCTTCACTTAGTAGGCATGATTTCAGCTTGTTTTTGAAAATGAAGTAAGTGATTTCATTGAAAAGAGACGCACAAGATTAGTGCGTGCAGTAATAGCGAAATGGCGTCTGTGGACTAAATCACAAATCAAGAAGAAGGAATATTTTACTGTAAATTTTGAATCAGCAATGGAATGCTTTACACATAGTGAATAAATATCATATAAAATAATTGTATTTATTCATTTCACCAAAAGCCATTTGAAAAATTTATTATTAGTATTAGACCTTTATTTTTTCAAGAATTTTTTATCTTTATTCAGTATATAGTAATTTGCAGAAACTGAGGAAACTCCAGTGCATGCACAAATGCTGAAGTCATAAAAGTTGACGGTCATGAAAAATATACTTTTAAATTGTCACATAAATTACATTTGTTAAAGTTGCAATTATTTTTCAGATCACTTACGCAAGCTCTACTTCATTACGTTGGAAAAGAAGCAGTAGCAATTCAGATAGTGATGACATTCGCTTAGCTGTTGCTTTAGCTGATGTTGAGTTAAAACGGATGAAACCATTTCTTACTTTTGGTGATACTGGTACTGTATTTTTATAGAATTAGTTGTTACTGATCTAGTTAATTGAAAAGCTTGTTTCGAGAATTAAGTGAATGATTTAATGTAAAAGAGACGCACAAGTTAAAAAAGGTAACAAAATTCTTACTATAACAAACAATTTGATGCAACGGTTACGCTCTGTCACTAGCTTGGGATTATAGCAACATTTAGTGCAATGAAAGCTTCTATAATAGTGGAATATGCATATCATAAAATTTTCTTAATCTTACGAATTATTTTCCTTTCGATTATAGTTTGTGATAACCAACAACATTTATCGTGGTGCGAATCGTTAGAAGAGCGCTCGTCAGATCTACTAAATTATTTCGATAAAGAAACTCTCCAAAAAGGTTGAATTTTAAAAATTTTTTCGATAAAAGTATTTGATAGAGTTTTAATTAGATATACTTCATTAGAAGTGCATGCGGTCATAAATTTTGTTGTAGGAATAGAATTAGCGCATCGGAACATGCAACGGGTTGGTATTTCTCATACTGGATTCTCAAAAAAAGAAACCAGTAGAAGTTTGAATAGCTTGGGGGACAATTCATGTGAATTATCAGGAAGAAAGAGAAAGTCGAAAGTAGCTGTAGAAAACGAAGCATGCATTTTTCCGCCAAAACGCGAAGTAAGATTTAAAGGGAGTAATTATTTTCAACTTTCAATTAAATATTAAATTAATATATCAAAATTAAATATAAATTTTTTCATCCTTTTTAATGGCAACTGTTCAGTAAATAGTTCAGTGGTATCACGTTTGTTGTTTAATTTACTGTGATTAGTTTGGTTGTGCCTGAATTGCACACAGATTTTTTGTTTTTCCTGTACCTGAAAGCACTGTATTTCGAGAATGTTTCTTGAGGTCCTCGAATTTTTTACATTTTAATTCATTTATAGTGCAAAAGTCTGGAGATATTAGCAGAACGACTGAAGGCTTTTACCAGTGAATTAGACAATACACTAGAAAGAGCGAAAGAAAGAAATCGTTGTTACGATGAGATATTTGAGTCTTAAATGTTTGACGGTTAGCCATTTTTGTTTTCACGATTAGGAGACAAATATCCAATTTTATGTGTGTCAATTTTTCATAGTAAAGTATGTTGTAAAGATGTTGTGCTTTATATGATTTCTCTTTGGTTCAAACCACTTTTGTTTCAGGAAGTGCTTTTCTGATATGGCGTGTATAAACATATATACATACCTTTATTTTGACTGTTGAATTGTTGATGTTCTCATGTTCATTTGTAATAATATTGAGTATATTTCGTTGTAGTCGATTTGTTGTATCATTTCGAAATGAATCAAAAACTAATCTTGATATAGTCTTACACTTTGAAAAAAATCATTGCACTACGAAATAATTTTTTATTAGAAGGAAAAATGAATTATTTTAATGTTTATTTTTTTCATATGCTAGTTGATCAAGGCTTGATTGTTGCTCAAGTGTAAACGTAAGTGAATAACGAGGTTTCAAAATATGTCTGGGAAACTCCTTATAATTTGTTCTCACCATACATGTCAGTCTTATGTGTCGTATATTTTTGGAAAAGTCTGATCTGATAAATGCATGAAAATATGTTTCTAACCTTATTATTATAAGTGGGTATTGCTGTTGTCATCTTATGTTTAGAATCTTCATTTTTGCGAGATTGAAAATGTTGAGTGAATTTGTAATTGCACTGTTCACCAGATTGGATAATCATTGACTAGCATGAGAGTGAAATTAAAAAAAGCAAAGTTGCGATCTAGTATTTACTTAGTGAAATTTCTACTTTTTTTGATCAAACCTGGTATCCGTGCTGTGAGAAGAAATGTCTCAGCTTATATGGTAAGGGGAAATTTAGTACTTACTGAGTTTGTAGATTGATTCATTGAACTTCCTGCACTTCCGAATTTTTTTTTATCTAACTTGAGAGTTGTTTTATTGGAAGGTAAAAACAGAACATCGGTTTAGGTAGATTAATTTCGGACTGGATGCAAAACCGGAAATACTCATACATTTATTGCAAACAGCAAGAGTATTCACGGTTTAGCAATCTAGCCGGAAGTTTTATCCGATGTACCAGGAGTTAAAAAAACTGAAGTTAATTAGATCGTAGAAGTTCTAGAATCTGATACTTTTTATATCATAGTCACAAGAATAAGAGTAACCATTAGGATATAAAAGTGACCATTGTCAATCTTTTATTGTTTAGCGTGGTGATGAGATAGCAGAACAAATAAAATGAATACAAGGTGAGATTCGTAAAGTATTTTAGTTGAATTTAATTTAACAGCAGTTTCTTGCAGCTTGATTTTATACTACTAGAAGGGTGTATCAATTTATTCCGCTGAACAACATGGCTTATTTTCAGAGAAAGAAATGATTGGCTTGTGACAAAAGTAAGCAGAACTAAAAAGAATCAACACATAAACTATGTATGCAATAATTGGTGTAGAAAATATTTGGGAAAATATTTTTATTAAAATATATGTGCATAAAGTTTGAATCATAAAAACGTTTGCTCGTAGTATACAAAAAAAAATGATTAAAATATTACAAATTCATATCTGTGAGCTTTTTCATGCTTAATTTGAAAATTAAAACATTGATTAGCTCTTATTATTCAATTTTCCATGTGAGAAATAATGTGAGATTACAAAGTATATTCTCCACTTGTAATGATTATATGCTTTTTGAAGTATAATTTAAAATAAGTTTTCAAAAATTGTATAAAAAATATTATTGAATGATTAGTATGCTAATTTGATGAGAGGTAAAGAATAGTAAATTTGAATAATTTTTATTTTTAAAAACCTCATTAGAATGCATTAGTTTTAATTTGTTTACTACTGATAAAATATAAATTTGAATTTTGCATAGGAATTTCAAGTAGAAAAAATGTAAATTCCCATATTACTCATCCTAAAATATCAACAAAATAGAACGATTATTACTCATTGTGCAGTGTTTAATAATTTTTGTAATCTTTCCACCATCATTATCATATTATTATGCGCTGCTGTGGTTGTGAACATTTCAAAAAATAAAAATAATATAGCAAAAAAAACCATCTATCATATTCTATATTTAGATTGTCTAATCACTAAAACCTTATCACGATTAACTTTATTAGTTTACTTTATTGTTTTACTTGCTATTACTTGCAAAGTATTTCTTAGACGAGCTTTATAACTAAATTATTTTTTAAAACTTGTGCAAAATCAGAAAGCTGACTAACGAAATGTAATCTGTAGTGAGAAGTAAAATTTTTATTCAATTATTATATTCAAATATCGCTTGTCTACACTTTAATATATCCAAAATATTTTGCATTTTTTTTGCATCCATAAATTATTTATTTTCAAATATTTCCTCAAATAGCAAACGAATCTCAAGTCTAGCTAGCTATTTGATGAAGAATAATTAAATTTATAGCTTGATTTAATTGAAATTCTAATCATATAAAATGTGAATGCCTTCTCAGCCAAAAGGCTTTTGATATTCATTTAATTCATTCAAATTCCAACAGTTATGAATTTTTCAGTCTCAGTAATTCGTAAGTTCTTTTTTACTCAAATGTAAAGTAATTCTGACTTACTTAGAAATTCTGACTTACTTAGACAAGTAGTGTCATTAGGTCAACAATTAGAGCTTTTGAAGATATATCAATTTTAATCATTTCAAAATGTAAATAAAAAATAAAAATATGATTATTCACGCGATGAATTTAATCTAATTTTTCTGCTTACCATTTCAAATAATGCTCTACCAACTATCAACCGTTTAAATACGATCGAAGACAAAATTATTCTAAAACTAGAAAATCCTCCAACCGCAGATACAAAGACCTAACTTTATCATGTTTTTACTCCGTCTACTTTTTTCTATCTGATAATTTGGTTGATCTTTAAAGTTAGTATCTTCCTGATTACTTCATCAATGGCATTACGAGGAGCACTGTTTCGATCACGAAGAGTTCCACTCGACAATATTATTCGAACCAACATAGGCAGAGTAAGCTAATTATGTAAAATTTCAAATATGCTTAAAATACATACAAAATAATTAATTAGTAAACAAACAGTTACTCGAATTTGATTACTTTTGCTCTTATCATAAATTACATGGTATATTTTGTACATTTATACAATAATAGTAAGCTTAAATACTAAAAAATGCTTGCTGGAACTGTAATCCAAAATTATTACTAGTTTTTGCATACAGTAAAATGAAAATTTTTTTAAAATGAAGCAATTAAATTGCATGAAAAAACATAAAATTTTATAGAGTCATTTTAAGCAAAAAAATAATTTGGAAAATAATTAAGAAGAAAACTAACCTTTAACCTTACGAATTACAATAGATAAATAATAATTGCGAAGAGCAAAGTTAATTTTCACTGATTAATATGTCTTTAATTAGTCTGAAATGTTGTGTGCTGTATGTTTAAGCAGGATTTCCTACGTTTTGGAAGAGATGCTTCGGACGATTATGATCAGCACATGCCTGATCTCGCTGTTTTTAATCCAGCTGCGCTAAAATGATTACATTACTACTATATGTTAATGAGCTTCTTGAATAAGTCCATTCATCATTGCTACGATTAAGAATACATTATCTTATAATAAAAGTTTTGTCAAGTTGAGTGATTTTAATTAGCTCAATGACACTTTTTTTACTTTCATAATGTATTTATTTACAATATATTCAAAACAATATTTCAATGGAATGGTTCTACTAATTTGAAAGCTTAAATGTTTAGCACAAGTATACTTTGCAGTCAACACGAAAGACTACACGAATATACTTACTCATACCTTCAGAAATTTCCGTGTTTTTATTAATGCATAATGCATTGAAAACGAAGCAAAACATTTGAAGTAATCCCAATTACAAAGAAATTGGAAATCAACGACACTACTACTTGATTATAGACAAGCCTTAAAGAAACGAATTACAGTAGAACATCCGTAATGTCTACAAAAAAAAGTTATGCATAGATGTTACCTAGACAAAAACTTTAAATTATGAATCTTAAATTTGCTATAACTGGAATCACGTCTAATTATTGGTTCCGAGAGAAACTTCACTTTACCACGTGTTATTGAATTACAGTCAAGATATCTATTTAAAAAATTAATTAAAGTTTATATCACATAATAAAAAAGTGTATTTCTTTATTTTTTATGAAAAAAATGAAAAATACGGCCAAAATACACAGTAAATGATATAATGCAATACACAAAATGTAATTATTGAAATTAAAAATAAGAAATGATAATATTGCACTGCTCATCAAAAATATACTAGTAGCTATTAGCAAGACAATTTTAGTTAAAATTAAATATTTTTTAAAGTAAATAATTGGCTTCTTTCAGAGCACAATAATGAAATAAGAATCATATAATCCAAATTCTATGCACTTCAATATGGCTGACACTTTTATTAAACTTCACGAAATTTTAGTGCTGTAAATAAAATCGTCTCACTTATTTCTGCAAATTATCAAATTTAAATTTTCTTTTTTGCTGTAGTGCAAATGATATGTTGTGTTAATGTTTGATATAAAATTTGCATATCAATGCAAGTTTTTAGTACAGATCAAAAGTTTACAATAGTTTAGTAAAGTATTCTACGCATATTTTTCCATTTTAAACAATTTGAAGCAATTATTGACATTAGATGTTGTAAAAATGAGTTTAAAAGGCACAATGTCTTCGAAATTAATTATCACATTTTCAAAAAATCAACCACAGTTCAAGACATCAGTTGATGGAATTGGATAAAGATATGCTTGGGGCGCGCTGTTATCGTCAATTCGGTTAAATTGTAAGCCACGTGAGCGTAATATTTCTCCCACAAATTGTTCTACTTGGTATTGATTCCTGGAAGAAAGTAAATGAATTTTTGAAATTTAAGAGTAGCAAAATCTGTAAATTTTTACTCATTACTACATATTGTCAACAAATCTGTGCTTTATATTAGTAAGTACAATTTCATAAAGAAAACTTTCAGCTTTAGAAGTAATTTATGATGTAGTTATACAAATATGTACAAAGTTTTAAAATTTATCACGTAAGTATAAGAAAAGTAAGCATTTTTATAGTTTGACGCATAGAACTGAGAATACTTATTTCTGTTATAGATTGGTGAAAAAAGCAAACTCTAGTTGTTGTATACTCTCGAAATCTCTGAGTATGATTATACAATACCAAAGCATTTATAAAAAATGACTTACGCATCACGGAATTTATCGTTTGGTAAACGACCTACACGTGGTAAAGACGTTTTAGTTTGATTTGCCATCATTACGTCAGTTTCAAGATCAGTATTAAAGTTATCCTCAATGCTAGTGGTAAATTCTGAAGACGGTAACTTTTCTTTTTTCTTTCTTGTCTTTGTAATACATTTCGAATCAGGTGGATAATACTGTAGTGGTATCATAAATGGTCTGCTCTCGAGTGGTCGAGAATGATTACATATACTAAATTTTGACCAATAAATTTCTCTTGGATCCGGTGAGTCTGGCATCAAAATCGTATCCTTGCCAGCAATTGGTGGCAACTGTACGTATAATTTTCATTTACCAAATTTAACATACAAAAATAAATGAAAAACTTGATTATAAGTAATCAAGTAAATATAGGCGAAGTAATCAAAGAAATTTATGACAAAATTTGACTGAATTAATTAACTTCATTTAAATAACTTAATATAGTTGAACAATCAAAGTGAAATGCCTGAAATTCCTGAATAAATTTTGTACTTTAATTAACTAGTCAAATCTTTCAAAAAAGTAAAACATACAGAGCAAACTGCTGATACAAGTGGACCACGAAACATTGCAGGATGAAGCCAATCTGGCCGATTTTCAGCAGCTAAAATTTGATCGACAACAACTGCCATACGTTGAAGCAAATGGGCCCTCTCTCCAGAACGGTCAAAAGTAGGTTGCCAATGGTCATCTAGTGAAAAATATCTTAAAAAAATTATAATTCTTGATAAAAGTGATTGACGTCAAGTACTAAGCAATAATAAGTCGCATTTAGATTATCACCGTAATATGAAAATCTAATAATTTAATTTGTCTTATACAAGAAAATCTGCGTGGCCGATAATAACGTAAAAAATATATACATACAATTTTAATTAATTTACCTCATATAGAGTACATGAAGTTCATGAATTGCATCAGCAATATGTTCACCTTCTTTTTTTTCTGTTTTTTTGTCTACAAACATAGCAATAAATTGCCTGAAAAAATATTATTCAATTTTTTTTAAAAGCTGTCTAAAACCGCACTTTTTTAATATTCTGAAGAAGATGGACTGTATCGTTAAGATCAACAACTCATTAAGTTCATTTCAGGATTAGACTAGACTGACCAAGCTCAAAGTATTCATAATCCTAAACTTTCTGCTAAACCTATCAAATAATTAAGTAATCATACAAGTAGGCTTTTTTGTAAGGAAATGAATAGATTTACCTCTTGGCTGCTCAGCATTTTTGCACAACACATTGGCGCCAGATGAAAACAGTCTACCGTATTCTAGAAATAACTGACTAATATTATTCTTCTATGCTAAAACTTTGGCAATATTTTTTTTTTTGAAAAATATTACAAAAAAAAACATCTCTTAAATTTTTTTTCAAGAAAATATCATTAAATTATTAAAATTTTATGAGCGAAAATAATGTATTAAGAGGATGTTAACACTCAAACATTGACAAATAAAAAATCACAAGTAATCAAGAAATTTTGATCTAAATGAATAAACAAGTCAACTGAATATTTTGATTTAAATAACTAGACGAGTCAATTAAATACACCATGTTATGCATAAACTTCATACTATGTATTATCATTTTTGATGTCGAAAATTGACAAAAATTGCGCTGATTTGTCCACTATGAATTATAATAGACGCTGCTTACCATAACTAGATTCCTTTTTGTATTTTCTAAGACATTTCTTTCGAATGTAATTTTTAGTTCCCATTTTGCATGCTAATATCCTTTTGCTTAGCAACATATAAAACAGCGTGAAACTGACATAAATTATAGACTTCTATCTTTGTACATGTAAATTATTCAGATGGATATGACTGATGTAGAATTAAAGTTCTATACTCGATCCTTGATCATGCTCATGGCTGAAAGTGAGATCGTAACAACAACATCATAGGAAAGTCTCAGGAGGTATATAGAACGAGGAGAGTAGTTTGAGTTAATGTTAATCCAAAACATGGTTGAGTTTAATATAAAGTATTTGAACTTTGTTAGATTCTCTCTGAGCAACAGTTATTGCACTTCTGCGGAAATTTATTGTACTAATATTGGCATTTCATACCATTTTTTGTAAAGATTGAATTTTGATTAGAAAATACAAAAAAGAATCAATAATTTAGAGTGGTTATGCAAATAAGCTGGAAAGAATTTATGGCACAGCCTCCGAATGAAATATTATGCATACGATCAAATGTTTTTTACACCATATACTGTTAGTCGAACATTACTTCAACAATTTTCATACTGTGATTGATTATGGTACTGAAAGTTCGCGAGCAGCATTTTATCGAAATATCTGCTTTAAAGGAGACAAAATCAAAGGCTCATACGGTAACCCTGTATCAAATTTCTTACTTATCAGCATCTTTAAAAACTTTTATCAGAAATAACATTACCAAGGATACAAATTTACCAAACATCCTTTTCTCCAATTTATGAGGAATATAATATGCACAATAAATGTGGCTGTTCAGAATTCGACAATTCTTGTAGAAAAGACCTGAAAAGGAGAGTCCTTTTTGAGAACTGAGGAAACCAAAAATCGCTGTGCTTTATGTACTTATTCGCTTAAATAACAGAAAACGAGCTGAACTTGATCCGTCTAGGTCAACCAGCTGTTGGCCTCCATACAATTTTCTATCATGAAAATGATGAAGAAGCACTCAATATAAACCATTTTAGCTAATAATATCTTCTGCCCTGTAACTTTTGAATGCACTGTTCCCGACACTGTCAGAGTAACTTTTAACTGATCATATTTCAGCATTCGAAATAAACTGGTGAGGCCCTAACAATCTCTTAAAATACCATTGGGAATGACCTTAGTTTTTCTGAACTTGTAGATTACAGTCAATCGCAGTGACTAGAAATACCGAAAAAATCCTATAAAAAAACACACGCATATATTCTATTCGTCTGTGTTTGTGTGTGTGTCTGTCTGTCTGTATCCGTGTGCTTGTATCTCTGTGTGTGTTTGTATCCGTGTGTTCTTGTATTTCTGTGCGTGTATCTGCATTCCTGTGTGCACGTATTGTATCTCTATATGTTTGTATTTGTGGGTATTTGTATGTGTGTGTCCCTATTTGTGTGTATATTTGTTTGTATGTGTGTGCGTGCTTGTTTCTGCGTCTTTATCAGTGCGCGTGTGTCTGCAGTTCTGTGTGTCCGTGTGTTTATTATGCCTGATTGTGCTTATATCTGTGTGCCCATGCTACCAGCACTAAACGTAAAAATACACGCTTCGTTCCCCGTATATTACACGTGTAATTGTGTATATGGCTTTTATATGTTTTGTAGCCCTGTGTGTTGAGTAATTTGGTATATGTGGAAATTAATGTCTATACGTTAATTCGTAAATTCATGAAAGTTTTGAATTAGTCTGCGAATTCCAGGATAATTACCGTGCTTTAGCACTCAGAACAAACTTTCAGTCATAATAGAACTGTACCTCAATCCAAATGTTAAATACATTTATTTATTATTACATAATAATTATAGAATAAAATCCAATGTGCGTACTCTTTTTGAAATGAAAACTTCACTGAAATCTTTAGCAACTAATGCATGTCAGATAGGCAGTACAGTGTTAGAACTATTGCAGACTGATGACGGTAATAATTGCTTGAAAAACTAACAAAGGGAAAAGACTGATTGGTTTTTGAGTCGTTAGTTCCATATTAAAACGTTCGAAGTTAAGGTCGGTCGGCTGGCTTTTGCATGCATTTACTGGTGATAAGATTAAATTAATGAAAAAAAACTAAGCTAATCAAAAAAACTGCCCGATCAAGTTAACTGAAACGTATAGATCCATTACATAGATATTTCTATATATCAGTAACTTATGTAAATCCATGACTCCTTGGCAAGTAGTGTAATTTACAGTCGACCATAGCTTGGACGATTTAGTGCATTCAGATATTTTCTGCCATCCTGTCTTTCAGTATTATTGGGGTCATTACTGCACTGATGTGACGAATCGTAGTATTTTCATTTTCACGATTCAAGAACTTTTTTTTAGGTGCAAAACAGCTCGGAATGAGGAGAATCAAAGATCGACTTCCTCAAAAAGCAGAAGACCACTTTGGGTACACCTTTTAAACGCCTGTTGCTCAATCCATTGGAAAGCTTTAAAATTAACAACGGAGTTATTTGTCAAATCTTCGTTCATAGGAAATTACATCGGTTTATTTCAAGAGAAAGTGTCATGTGAGCTAACACGTTCTCTTGAACCATATGTACAATATAACATTTTAAAGTTCTTACATTGATTCTGCAAGGTAGTGGCCATTATTTTTCGTGATGTTAACAATAAACGAAACTTGTACCTCATCAAAAGTGAATAGAGGTACTGAATCAATCGACTAAAAGTTGTGGCGCGTTTCCTGCAGAATAGTATTTCATAGCAAATGTTTTACGGATGAGCATGATTTAAGAGCGTTCTGAGCATTCTCTTGCAAATTAAGACAGATTCGTCGACTTGTGAAACTTTTCTACTTTTCGGAATCGCAACTAGAAACAATCGAGATAGCAAAACGAATATTTAATTCTTGAAAATTTTCCCATCCGTCACCTCATTTCTAAAAGGATTGATTGAGAAGACTGAAAAGGCAACGCAAGAATTTGATATCTATCACGGAAGAATGTGCAAGAAAACAATCCTTAAGATTATTCATCTTCAGTAACGAGACTCACGTCTTCCATCTATAGCACTGAGTATCAACCGATTTTCCATCTATAGCACTGAGTATCAACCGATTATAGTACTAGATCATCACGAATGGTTACGATCGGATGGTACAGAATTCACAGCAAATGCTGCATGGAATAAAATTTCATAGCAGATGTCTTTCTTCTCATTTGATTTACTCTTTTTAATACTCTTTGATGATGTAAACTAGACTTATCTAACACTCTGTGTATATTAGTTAGATTGTTCTTCAATTCAGTACGAAAAATTGTTCGATTTCGCTTCCTTTTTCTTTTTGACTCCATGAATTTAAGTTCATATTGCATTCATTCTGTAAATTAAATAATTAATATTTTCTATTTTATGCCTATTTTGTGCTGTAAAAAAAGATATAAATAAAACTTTCCGAACCTTGTTTTCTCCAGTTGCAAATTTTTCCTATCTTTCTCTACCATGAGCCATGAAGTATGAACTGCATATTTCTCCAAATTCTGAAAGAAAATATACAACTTTTTTGAACGAAAAAAAAAACAAACGAAATTTGATTACAAAGCATGGATTTGGTAACAAACCAGTGACAGAAAAAAGAGTGTCCTATCACAGAATTTAGCATAACCGTGTAATCCCCAAATCATCCTTCAGCATTCTGCCACTCTTCCGGATTCATTGCTACCATTCGGTTCTAGGAATTTTGAAAAGCGTTCTAAACAAGTGATGAATTATTAGCAAAATTACTTTATTCACCAGAAATGATGAGTACTGTTAATTTTTATTCACCAGAAATGATGAATAAGATTCCTCATCACAGCAGATGCATTGAAAAAAGCACGGGCCTTAGTTGGAATTCCACAGCTACATACAAGTGATAAAAATTGAATGTAGCTTTGCAAACAAAATGAGCAGCTACAACTACAAGCAAAAAACAAATGTAACAATGGAGCACAAGTAATTTCGAAC